AATAAAGGTTACCACTTTAATCCGAACATTTTTCCCATGCAGTACTTCCCAGAAAAAACGAATTTTTAGTAAAATGTTCACTTCTAAATTTTTTTCAATGAGGTGTGAATACTACAATCAGTAATTACTAGTACAAACAGCCACCCATAGGGTGGCATTTCTTCTAGTACCAATAATGTTAATAACTATTTCAAAACATTAAAACACAACAATATATACTTAGTTCTTACTATTTATTGGAAACAACTTTTCTTGCTGTCATTTCAGCAAAAGTTTTTATTATTTCCTCTCAATTAATTATTTTTTGCAATTCTACTTTAAATAGAAATTACTGAAAATCCACTTAATCGTTCTTGCACCATTTTGCTTCTCAAATAATTTTTTATCAACTTGAGGTTTGAAAAAGATCGCTTAACACTTGCAACTATCACGGGAATTGTCAAAAACAAAGTTATCACAGTTCCAATTTCTTTGAAGCTTAAACACATGGCACTGTTTTCACATATTAACAAGGTTACAAACTGTTGAAATGTTTTCAAGATCTAATTTGAAGCATTGTCAGTAGAGAGCGACTGAGAGGGAAATTCTTTAGAAATATCCTAATCATATTTATTAACTAAAGTTATGGCTCCATCATATAATTCCTTATCGGTTGCAGCAAGCAAGTTTTTGGGGAAAATAACACTACATGTTACAACAACACATTTTCGACCTATGATTATATGATTTAGTTGAGCAATCATAATGTCTAAACAACCATAAAAGACACTGGTCTTAAAGTTTCTTTTCTGGATTCGAAAATCTTTCATCTTCACACAATTCATCAAATTGTTTTGTTGCCTTTTTTGTGCACATGTACTGAAATTTGGGCTCCAAACCCCATATCTTCAGATATTTCTTTTATTTGCATGAAGTTGTCTCTTACTTGCACTAAAAAGTCAATTGAGTGCTTTAGTATTTTAACTGTTGTGTCAAACAGTACATTTTCACTTTGCAACGACTTAGAAATTACATGAGTTATTTCTAATAAGTTTGTTTGAAGAACAATTAGGAAAATAAATTCAAACTTTTATATTTGCTTCATTAGACCAGACACTTCAACTTGTTTGTCATGCTTTTTACTAAGGAGAATTATTTTTGAAAGTCCTTTTACAGTGTCTGAATAACGGAATCTTAACACAACTAGTGAATTGTGTCTAGAGGACAATCAAGATGAACATAATCTTTTAAGTGTTACTTCCTCAATAACACTGGATACAGAAACCAATTCTTTTAACACAGACAACTGTTTTATACTACGAACAAAGAAATTACAAAGATGTTCAATAGTATCATAAAAGTTTTTAATTTCAGATATATTTTGAACAGAAACAATCATTAAAAACATGATTTAGATTATGGGCAGCACAATGATCATATTCAGCATTTGGTTCTCTTTTAGCTATTCTTGCTTGGATTCCCAAGTATATACTGCTCATATTTGCTGCACCATCATACCCTTGACCACAATTAACAATTTCATTTTCTAATCCAATAGCAGTTTGATCAGAAGCTTGATGAAATCCAATCAATGATTCCTTCATTTCAAAGTCGTGAAGAAGTCTGTTTGAGTTAGCGTTTATTTTGACATGTTGAAAGATTTGACTCATTTGATCGACTTTTGAAATGTCTTGTGTTGTATCTATAATTATTGAAAAAAAGATGCTGCTTTTATGTCATCAATAATTTCTCTTTCAGTTTGTTTTTTAGCAATTATCATGATAACTTCATTCTGTAATTTAGGAATAAAATATTTGACTTGTCCTTTTTTTCTTTTCAAATAACTGTACAAGAACAGGATCATATTTTGCTAACACTTGAATAACAGAAAGAAAATTATCACCATAAGGTTTATCAAAGCTCTCTGTGTCCTCAAATGGGCAAATTGGAAGAAGCTATTGTTCATGTTACATTAATTATTCCCTCTAAAATATCTCTATATTTCCTTCTGTTTTTTCATTTTCAATTGTTCCTCTAAGATTTTCTTCAAATGCTATCTTTGTATTGTCAGACAAGCATCAAGATGCGTTCTTGGGCATTCATGTATCTGAGTTTTTTGGATCAGATGTCTCCAGTCTATTATGCCATTGACCCTAGCATCATTAAAAGAAGACGACTGGTGAAAACCCAGGTTGGTTCACAATCAGCACTATCTGTCAATGGTGAATAACATAACCACATTCTGTGCAGCAGCATCCCCAATTTCAATTTCTTAGAATAAAAAACTTCTGAAAAACATTGACCATCCTGATTCACATCCATGAGAAACAGCCCTTTGCATCTACATAACCCCTTTGATATAATTAAACCTCTTAAAACACTGCTTTCGATATTTGCAGAAAAGTGTCCTCTGTCACACGACAATATTGGGTCTATTTGTCGTATTTCAGCTATTTCTTCATGAGTTTCATTGTTTGTATCTGATTCTGTTTCAAACACATTGATATCAGTTACAGCACTTAATTTTTGTCATAACTAAATTTTAAACATGTACTTGAACAACCTGTTTCATCACTTTTATCTGCACTGTTGTTCTTCGTAACAAACAAGTCCAGTTTCAGTAACTTAGAAATAATTTTTTTCTCCTCTCTTTTCACTTTTATTTTTTGGGAACCACTTTTATGCTTTGATCTAGACATTTTCAATTATAAAGGGAGAAATTATTCAAATATTAAAGAAATGCACTGCAGGGTCTGCATCCACCACCATTTATTTAGCACTATTAAGTTTTTGTAGAATGTAAGGCCAAGTAGTGGCACCGTTCAAAATGTATCAAACATGGATAAGTACATGACTGGCTCTGACAACGTGTAGCATATTTGTTTCCTGCATGTTCCAACTCATTATTCTTGGTTGCTAGGCAGAAAGACGTAATATTACAACCTCCAGGCATCTAAGGCTGTGATTGGCTGATAGTGACATCATTCAGAAACTTGGTTATGAAAAAATTAACTATTATTGGTGCAGCTGCCATACCTTCAGGTTAAGCTATAGATTTACAGATAATTTATGTCTTTTCATATTGTTTTCCCCAAAATGAGCAAAACCTACAGATTTTTTTGTAATCGACTGTTATAACTATGTTGTAGGATAAAAAAAAAAAAGAATGATGCAAATGGAATAAAAACTAAAATGATTGCAGAAATAGACTTTTCTCTATGGAAGCCAAATAATTTTTTACTCTATGGCTTCTTGTGCAAGGTTTGACTTCCCTCTCATGACCTTGAAATAGTCACCAAACTGCAGCCAAAGTCCAAACACTCCTGACACCTCCTGTGTGCCTTCTGTCTGCCAGTTTAAAATTAAAATTAAAAGATTTAATTTTATTTCATTCACTTATTACTGTATAGGCCCACATTGCAGTGAATCTAGTTATATGTGGTTCATGTATTTTCACGAACTATTCTAATTTCTACTATTCCCAATAGTTTGCTGTAACTAAATATATTGTAGTTTAAACTTATTATAATGACTAAAAACGTTATTAGATAGGTTCACTGGTCATACCTAGTCACAGTAGGTAATTAAAAGCTATAACTTCTTTCTATGCAGTAAATACAGAGCAAGAATTGTTTTGTTTTAGTTATGTCCGAGTTTGATTACAGAAAATACTATTTAAGAAACAATTATCTTATCAATTAATAATTATCAATTATTATCACCCTGAAAAAAAGAGGTACAGAGTTTTTGATGAAGTCAACAGATTTCTACAAATATTTTTGAGTGATTCTACAGATTTTTAACATTTTGGGATGACACTGAACAATCTGATCTGGGAATGAGTGATATTTTGTGAACTGTATCGAAAATCCTCTTATGTAAAAATAAAAATTTACAGTTTAAGGTTTTTACCGAAAATGTAATGGAATTTCCAAATAATTTAATTTCAGTTAAAAAAAATATATATTTAGTTTTTCAATAGACATTAAAAAGTAAGTATACAGTTTTGTATTTACGATGCATAAAATTTATTTACTTATCCTGGCATCGCAATGGCCCCCAAAATGGGCTGGGGGCCCCAGTGCAATGCACTACCTGCATTCTAGGTAGTTTCACCACTGATTCACAGGAGTTCATGGTCATTTCATTTATTCATAATTATATGCACAATACTCCAGTCAGCATTACACAATTTAAAAAACGTAAACATATGAAGAAAAAAACATTTCTTTAAAATAACTTGGCAACACACTGTAATAACTAAAACAGGATTCAGTCACTTCCATAAGAACTTGATCTTTTCAACATGTTTCTGATGCGAGTTTATTTACAATAAGCAATATTGTAAAAAATGTTAAAATGCAGAGAAACATAAAAAATTAGTTCACTGATTGTTAATAAAATAGATAAAGAGCAACTGATAGTGGTATATTTTAAATTGAACTAAATTGTTATCATCTTACAGTATCATACATATATATCTGATAACTACATGCTGGGTAAAAATTTTGAAAATTCACCTCTTCTTTTGGAGCAGAAGCTTCTTGAGATGTACTGCCATTTTGTAAAATCATTTCATCTGCATTATCAGCATCAGTGGTTTGAGAGTTACTTTCATTCAAAGTAATTTTTCCAATTGAAACCTGGTCACCTAACTTCAAAAACTTCATAAGTTCATCATCTTCATTTGCCAGCTCAAAATCTTCATAGTCCTAAATTAAAACAATTTAATAAAGTACAAAATTTGTTTAATTGGTTAAACAGGTCACCTTGATTGTTTGCTTCATATGGAGCAAGTCTTATTAATTTTTGATTGACAATAGTATGGAATTCATACAAATAAACCTAGGATAAATTTATATTTAGGCTAATTATTATTTATAAAATACTGTTCTAATCCATGGATAATCTCAAAAAGTATTATTTCTGGCTAATAAAGAACTAAGTAGTGGTTTAATCCAACTGAGTTTTAGACAAAGATTTAGCAAAGCATAAAGCTCATCCAATGATAATTTAGACAATCAAAATTTATAATTTTCCTAAATGAAAATGTATTTCCAATAGGTACTTCCCTCCGCTCACAAGATTAGCTTTTCTTGTTTTGTGCTGCCCTCTATATGCAAACTTTTTCAGAAACGTATGCCAGTAGCCTTCATCCTCCCTCTGTTGGAACCCACAGTTCCAACGTCTCTCATGCAAATCATCATGCATCACCTCTCCACCAATAGGAGAACACTGTTATCACGTGGCACAGGTTACTCCCTCTACAGGTCACTATCTAACTGTCACTTCAAGGTTTGGCAGAAGACACGAGCACTGGAAAAACATTTTCATTTGTGAAAATTATAACTTCCGATAAGGTACTCTCCCTCTTCTCACAAGATTAGCTTGAATCCCACACTGAAATGGAGGAGGAACCGGTGTGAGAGAAGCAAAATGACACCCCTAAAATGAGAAGAACAGATCAGATGATCTAAGGAGCATCACATCTGAGCCAGGTATCTCTTTGCTATAAAAATCGACATGATCAAGAGGACCATACATGGCAGAGTATTAAAGGTAGCACATCTGCATGGGAGAGGATAGTTTAGCAATGTGATCTTAAACAGAATTCAGAATCACTCAATCCCATGATGGAAGTGGGCAAGTGAGGATGTGTCCCATGGTGTAGAGTGGCTAGAGCACAACGGATCGTACTAGGTAAGTCAACTACATCCAAAACCTCACTCGCTGGGTACTGACATCCTCGCGAAAGTAGGATGAGAATCATACCATCTTCACCTTAAGTCCCAGAGTCAAGAGTGAACCTAACATTTTACTCCAGGAACCCGCAGGGTAGCCTAATGCCAGGTATCTGCACTCTATCCCCACGACCGTGAAACCAGCCCAAAATGACCCCAAGTCAGTAACAACCTTCTCACCCAATGAGAGAAAACCCAGGACAGAAGCAGAAACATGCTACATAAACCTTCAACACAACACAGAAAACAAGTCAAGAGGGGAAGATGGACAATCTGAAACCTGTGTGAAGACTTGTGTGATTGGTTCACTCGATCTCCAAAACCTCACTTGCTGGGTATCAACATCCGCATGATGGTAGGAGGAGGGCACTCAACTGGAGGGGTGAACTACATTTGGGTGTCTCAACTCCAGGAAATAGTTACTCATCTGGAGGATCTTGTAACTCCCTCTACACTGGCAGAACATTACCACCCTACTCTGAACTGAATGGTTATAGCCATCTTTGTTGAACCCATCCAGTAGGTTACCTCTATGGTCAATCACCCCAGCAGTTTGGAACTGGTAAGTGGTAAGAACTCCTGTATTCCACTGGAAGAAAGGAGGGAAGTGCAATGGAGAGTAGAGAGAGACTGCAACACCCGAGACAGTGCAATGGGTGATCACAAAACCCTATTTTGAAAAGCACACCACACCGATTTATTCAATCTAAACATGGCAGGGATGGGGAGCAAACTCCTTCTGCTTTACCCATGCCGTCCATGGGTGGTACAGTCCAGGACGGACATATTATTATGCAATTATCATGAGGAATTTACACTTTAGTGATCTTGTGAAACACCCCATCTCAAGGGTGAGCATACACACCCATGGAAAATGTAAAACAATAAACATGGCTTACAGAATGGATTTCATATCAACATGTCTGCAAATGGTTATAGCCATCTAAGTGGAACCCATTCCAAGTACAGACAGAATACCTGGTCAGGCACTACTCACCACAGAGTGGGATCAAAAGTGAAGCTGAAGCAGGGACCCCACAAATAAATAAAAGCATTAGTGAGGACTTACCTCATGTCACAGCTGCACTAAAGTCTGTAGAATAGCCACAGGTGGCAAGTATACCCCAAGGAAGCAGAAACAGTAATGTGGTGTAGGTAGTGGGAGATGAACATGTGCTGAGTCATCTACATGCCTGATTTTAGAATCTCTTCCAATGGCCGAAAAAGACAAGAGGCAAGGGAGAAGGTTAGGTGGTGGATTTGATGTAAGAAAACATGAAAGATCACATTTAGAAGGAGACAAGAAGGAATAGGCCAACTGGAACAAACATCAAACCCAATTAGGCAAAGTAACTGGGAAAAGAACACAGGAAGAGGAAGGTTGCCAAGGGATAAAAAGGCAGGAACAAGGACCACGGAAGGAAGCTGTGTGAGCAATATAACAAGGGCATGGACAGTACAGAGGAGTCCATCTGAATCAGGACGAGGGTAGACATGATATATAGTGGATTGGCAGATAGGTAAAAAAAAACTTACCTTATTGAGCCGCAGAGGTCTTGGGAAGGAAAGCATGATCCACATAAAGGATAAGGTAGGATAAGTGGTACATAGTTCTAGTAACATCGAGGGTGAAAATATCCAACCAATTATGCCTGCAGGCCAGGAGGAGGAGGAAATATGCCTTCAAACAGACATATAGACAGAGGTTCAAATGGAGGTGAAGTGAGGGCATGAAGGGCCATGTTAATGTCCCAGTCTGGGAGCGAGTGACACCTCAATGGTCAACAGAGCCAAAAGAAACAGATCAACATGGAAAGCAAAGACCCTGCAAAATGGGAAAAATGGAATATATGGGATAACACCGCCGAAAACCCCAAAATCGAGAAGACTGAAGACCCCCCCCTCAAAGAGCCATGTGAGAAACTCGGAGATACAGGCAACGTTTGGGTGAAAAGTCAGGAAATCCCGAGTCAGTGCCCAGGAGCAATAAATGCTCCATTTGCATTGATAGATGGCCAAAGAAGAAGGGTGAGTAGAATGGGTTAAATGTGAAGCTACTCTGCAAGAGAAACTGGAACTCCTCACCAAAGACCTAACAAAAGCCAGGAGTGAAGATGGAGGACAGACGGTGCAGGTGACTGGGGTTGATGGAGCAGGTCGGGACAGAAGGAAAGGAAAACGGGGGAACCACCTGCAGTTGAGCAGGCTGGTAAGGAGCAATCAGACTGAGTGGCATGGATGAGGGAGACCACCTGATAAAGTAAATGGATGGGAGGGTAAACATATAGGAACAAATTGAAAGCACCCAGTACATGACACACCATCAAACAAATGTAATGTGTGTGGGCCCAATAAAGAAGATCCATAATGCAAAAACATAGTGATCTAGACCTGGTGCCACCTTGGTGATTGATATAAACCACCATGGTAGAACTGTTGTAATGGATCATAACCAGTCGGCAGCTTGCAAGAGAAACAAATTGATCCAAAGCCCGGTGAACAGCAAGGAGTTTGAGAACATTGATGTGAAGAGAATTCACCTCCATAGATCAATGACCTGAAACCTCCTAGTGACCCACCCAAGCCCCCCAGCCCTGAAGGGATGCATCTGTGAACATATCTGGCTGTGGAGGAGGAAGCAGGATCTCTACTGACATGTGGGCCATGTTCAACATGCAATGGAGATCGGCTACAAGGGATGAGGGAAGGGATATAGAAGTATCCAAATGATCCCAGGTGAAGTTCCATTGATTGTACCCATTGAAGAGACTGCATATGGGCCCTGCCCAGGAGTATGAGAGGTGTGATAGAGGACCACATTCCCATAAGCGATAGAACCTTGCAAGCTGAAAGTGAGGGAACATACAGGGACTTTCAAATGGCCTGTTACATAGAATGGAGCCAGAGAGGAGAAGGTTGGGCCCGACTGAGATGAGTGTTGAAGAAAACACCCAAACAAAAGATGTCTCCATGGTAAAGCACAGAATGTGAAAATACTGATTGATGGGATAAATCGATGACAGAATGCCAGTTCCCAGTCTTCTTAGGAACCATGAACAGGTGGGAGTAAAACCCCCGTAAACCTGGTGAACTGGTTCAATAGCCTATTGTTCGATGAGGTCCCGAACTGCCTCTGACAGACACTGGCATGTCAAGGTATCCCGAGGAGAAGGGAAGAGAATGGGAACACTGGATAATGGAAGAAGGGAGAAAAAGGGGATAATGAATCCTTCCAAGAGCACCTTGTGAACCCAGACATTGGAGAGAAAAGGTCCCCACAGATGAAAGAAATTCAAGAGACAAGTCCCACTGGGCCCAAACAGACCACATAGTCACCAATACTGCTGTTGGCAGATCGTGTGTCATCGAGGAAATTGTCAAACTGTGGCACCACGAGAGGGTGGAACAGGAAGAGGTTGGGAAGGGGAAGGTTGGGGGACAGGAAGCAGTGCCACGCTCGGCCCCAACAAACGAGCTACCAAATAAGTAAGGGTATAATGTTGGTAGGCCCAGGCCACCCGTGACTCCAAAGACTCAGGAGCCAAGTCAAACATATAACACCATACAAACGGCACCATGCCTGATGATAAACAAGGGCAGACTGATCCGAAGTCCGTGGAGGATGAGGCATACTAAAGCCCACCCCCAATTTAGAGGCAAATCGGTCTGCATGAATCCTAATATCGGGGGGGATGAGTGAAAGACTAAATAGGGTTTGGAGGTTGTTTCATGTAAAAGGGAAGGTCTAGGGTCATAGGAAACAGGTGTAAGAGACAAAACATCAGATACCTGAAAAAATCAATGACGGACGAGCTGGATCATCAGGTAATGAACGGGTAATGCTCGCATCTTCTGCCAAACTTTGAAGTGACAGTTAGGTAGTGGCCTGTAGAGGGAGTAACCTGTGTCACGTGATAGTAGTGTTCTCCTATTGGTGGAGAAGTGATGCATGATGATTTGCATGTGAGACA